ATCTCTAAAAATCGCTTTATAATCAAAGAGTAAGAATCTGTGTCAGCAATTATGTCAACGACAATACAAATCGATCCATCCCGCAGAATGCAACAATTGTCTGGCATATGAGTACCTAGGTATATACCATTAAATGTAATTTTTGAATAATGGACACTAGTATTGCTATTACTACGTGATATTGATACGCGAACAGATATATCGATATCGCGATTATCGTCTCGCCCATGAAGTCGTAACTCTGTCATTTGATTAAAAAATTGCTGTAAAGGCTGACCCGGTTTCTTGCAATACTTTCTAAAAATAGACATATATTTTCATAAGGAAAAGCGGAGAACGATTCTAAATTACCAAGGTGTCTTACATCATTAGGTGATCATTAAGGTGAAGCAGACCGTGAACATTATAACTAATGAAATTAGAACCATATAAAGTATTACTACGCAATACAAATTTTTCCAGTGCAAGTTCCGCGTACCTCAGCTGTTTCTCTGATGGAGACTTTAAAAGCAAGATTCTTATAGCACCATGTAGAAGCAAGAAGTGCTTATAGAGGTGGTCATCTAATATTCCATACATTACAACTAGTCCTGTATACAGAAGAAACTGGCGAAATTCTGTTGCTTTATACTTTGAAAAAATATCTAGAGATCTAGGGCGTCTTGCAAACTCGGCAGGACAATATTGTGTCAACATTTTTAAACGATCACTAATTCTTGAAATCGATCTTCCACACAGTTTCGACATCCGTAAGTATTTCCTATGTACCCAAGCAGACAATAATTTTTTTACTACACCTAAGCATACTAAATGCATATATTCAAAGGAGACCTGCGAAACCATCCCCATAGGTAAAACTGCCAACGGACTTGTGCCCTCTTTGTAATGATTTTCATCACGACGCAATCTATAATCTTCATCCGTACGAAGGAGATGTTTGACACCATGAAATACATTGCGGCCATCGATCGGCATGCCATTAACTTTGCACTTAGAGCATAGGTGATAAGATGTATGACCACGATGATGTAAAAGAAGAGCTCGAGTAGGTGCATCAGCTACGAAGGCTCTTAATCTAACTGGTATTAAAGCACCGTGAAAATTTACACCTTCATTACAAATAGCTGTTATATCGACAATAAATTTTTCAAAAAAAGCATTAGCATCGTTAGGCTTTTGTGCACCTTTATATATTCCAACAACGATGGGTTTTGAATTTTGTAAATTTGATATTCTACACTGAATCGGTCAAATCTGAATTGTACCTGATCTATCTAATGTACATCCGTCAGTACTAAAATCGAGTTCTAATTCTCTAATATCAGATGCACATTGAACATTAGAAAGATATTCTACAATTGCTACTTCCACATTGAAATGTATATATTTCCCTGGCTCAACAGTGCATACAACGACACGATGCCTTGGTGTGTTCAGCAAGGTTCTTACGTCTTTGGGCAAATGAGACAAACAAGTATATGTTCTCAAAACAGATAATATTCTATTTCCTTGGCTATGCGTCAAATTGCAATCAAAAAATGAAGAAGCTAAATTTTCAGTAAAGGATGGTTCTGACAAACTACTAAAACATGAAGACAATACACAAGAACCATCTGAAGAGATGGAAGATGAATATGATGCTCTATCATCCTCTACGTTTGCACTGCTTGTGCTGGCAATATTTTCGTTAACGGAAGGCAAGTTATTAAAATAAGTACATTGCGATAAAGCTGAAACATTTTGCAATACGGAATTATCATTGGACTCTACATTGGTTACGTTATATGTACTCTTTCCTTCCAGAATTTTGTAGTTGAAAATTGCGCCGTACTTCTTTCATAATCATATTTCTTCGTCTCATTGATAATTTATGCAACGGTTTACGCGAGGTGGATAATTTTAAATATGGCTTCATATTTACATAACTTTGTTGTTGTAAGTCCAGGTCCAAAATGTTGTATGCTTGAAAATCCTTGAGACAACTCGTTGAATATCACATTAAATATCACTTGAATACGGCAAATTCGTCCAACACAACTCACTGCGAGTTGAACACGGAATAAACAAATGTGCAATGTACTATACGTAAAGCGAGACGCACACACTCTTGCATAAAGGCATAATGCATAACGCATAAGGAAATGAACCAATTACAGTCTTTCATTTGTATTGCTACATTTGAAATAAAAGATTGTGATTGGTTCATTTCCTTATGGTCGTATATTATTCCTTTATGCAAAAGTGTGTACTTCCCGCTGAAATTTCCACAGTAAAGCCAACGGCACACGATGCTTGTTTTCGTACTGGATTGCATGCTGGATGAAAATACTGCGTTCTGATTGGTACATTTCCGAAGATGAATGGAAATGCACCAATCAGAACGCAGTATTTTCATCGAGCAAGCAATCCAGCATGAAAACAAGCATCGTGTACCGCTGGCTTAAAACTTACGTTTATGCAATTATTTCAAGAATATAGTGCCAGTACTCGACAAGTAGAATAGCAATCGATCGACCAATGAGGACCACACGAACGAGACATTCTTTATCATGATTGGTTAACTGCATGCTGCTCTCAAGCATAGGGTGCATTCAATGGCTGCATTCAGTAGACTCAACAGTTGGACAACATTACTAGATTTTCCACTGAATCTCGCTCCTGATTGGTAAATACTTCTGGGTCTATGAAGAATCTAAAAGAATGCTCCAATCACAGACAATAATCACTAAGCGCTCTCTGATCACTTTGTTCTACTGAACGCGGCCAATATTACAACCGCTCATTGAGCGCTCAATGAGCTTTTACAGTTGATTGGTATATTCCTTTAAATTTAAAAATATACACCAATCAGATGCAAGAGTTCCCTTAGCGCTCAGTGAGCGGTTGGTTGCGTTCAGAAAACAAAGCGCTCGCTGAGCACTTAATAACTATTGGTCCTTACTATTAGATCCTTACATTCAGGCCAATAACGTTGACGAATTATTCAACCGTTGTGTAACCGTTGTGTTTTCTGAACGCAGCCGTTGTAGTACTCAGTGAGCGGTTGTAGTACTGAATGCACCCTTAGATGGACATTTGAGCCTCAGAGCCCATCTTGAAATTTTCGCGTATACGCTATTTTTACTACGCAGTTTTTTATGATATGATTAAACCTCGGCTGGGGCTAAAATTCCTATCAAGCTCTCAGGGTACACTTTTTGAACGTAGCTCGTAAGGCTGATGTCCCATGAGCGGAAATTTTCAGCAGAACGGAACGCTCGAACCAATCACAGCCATTCCATTCTTTTCACGAATAGAATAGAATGGCTGTGATTAGTGCGCACGTTCCGTTCCGCTAAAAATTTCCGCAGGGCATCGGCCTAACGTTATTCCTCCTTCAACTGTTCTCTTAATAAGTTTACGATTTTGCGGTCAATTATACAGCATATTTTTCGTGATTACGTCGAGTAATATAGAAGATAAATATTCTATATTGCAAGTGTGATATAGCAAGGGTTCATCATCTTCACTATGTCACAAGAAAGGTAAAAATATTTACTCTAATCTCTTTATTGCATGCTTTAAAATAAATTGCTTCTTTAAAATAAATATTTGCTTAATTATTTTTGGAATTAGCCCCCTTTATGAAATAATTTTTTGAAATAATTTAAAATAATTTCTTTTCTCTTCAATTTCATTATAATATATATAAATAGATAGATAAGCTGTTTATTGTTTTCCTATGAAGTTACAATTTTATACATCTTGCTTCCTCGCCACTTTTTCTCGCCCACTCCCTATACCCCCCCCCCCCCATACATACACACACACACGTACACACGCACACACACACACACACCTTTTCTCCTTTCTTCCCCTCTATCTGTCCATCCATCTCTAGCTTATATCTAACTCAAATTATCTTACTAGCTTACATACTAATTAGCTTAAATCCTAATGCTTATGTGCTATTGCTTATAATTAATGCTTATATACTACTTGTTCGCTCTTTGGCGCAGCGAACACGAGGCCGGGACGGCTCAGCAATGAGCGCGGGGTGCGACTTAAAAGGAAGATAATGGTCTCTTTTATTTCTTGTGGGATCGGTCCTCCTTTTCCTTCCTGATCAGCTTCGACGTTCGTCGAGGCGCTGGGAGGCCAATGCTCGCCAGTTGAAGCGTGAGCACGACTCGAACACGCGATCCCAATTTTATTATAAAAACAATACAAATAAACTTTCACAATGTGCGATTAATATGATCGTACGCGGCACGTCCGCTCGAAGCGCAATGCGTTGAGGCCGCACTCGTAGTCCGTACGATGAGGTCCGACCGGAGCGGTCGAGCAGCTGATTTGAGAACACACGAATACGGAGCGGAAAAACGGAAGATTACTTGCGAGCGGTTTCGTGCGAAGAGAAGGTCCGATCGACGCGAGGAACCGAAAACCCGTTCGTCACTTCGATCTTACCTGTATTGTTTGTTTTTGTGTCGCTCGGAGATGATATGGTAACCGCTATTGTCGAAGACGTTGCCATATTTGGCAGTCACATACGGACAAAAACGTGACAACAACTACGCGGTGTCCGGTAGCAAACACGCACGGCGTGCTCACGCGAGAGTCACGCAGGATATCTCGTGATATCGAGAATCCTTGATTTCGTCGACACAAAGAGCGGCGCCTTGGACGGATCGCAAACACTACTCCTTATATCTATTGCTTGTAACTAATTACATTTAATTGGTGGGACTTCCGTTTCCTTTCTCTTACTATCCCTCACCCTTCATTCATACTTTTATCCTATTTTCTCTCCCTCCCCGCTCCCTCAATACTCCATTCTCCCTCGTTCTCTCCCTCCTCTCTTCCTCCATTTTCTCTCATCCCTTCTCCTCGCCATCTCTCTACTTCTCTTATCCATTCCTCTGGCTTCTCTCCACCACCCAATATCTTCCTTACCGCCCCCAATTTGTTATATAATCTCATTTCATTTTATAATATAATTTCATTTCAATTTAATGTAACCACATTAGAGGAAGGAGGAATTATTTCAAGTAAAATAAGGAATTGTAACTTTTAAGCAACCTCTTTAACCTCTTGAACAAAGTATATTCATATATGCATTGCTATTGTTTCAGATCCACAGAGCGACCAAAACGAAGTATAACAAAGCCTCCCCGATATTTAACAACATCATCAGATGAAGGACCTCCACAGAGGAGGCGCTTCGCAGCATCTGCTGCAGCTGGTTCTATCAATGACGACCTAGATGAAATAACAAGAACCTTGGGGGATGAAGCTACAACTTTTAATATAGAAACACACATTCAACCTACATTAAATACACAATCATTTACAAACACTAATACTGGACATAATACACAAACACGTACTGGACATAATACACATACACGCCTAACATACAGATGCACACACACATCTCACCCATGCAAACATACACAAACACATTACCAACACAAACACATTTTATATTGAATAAAGAAGATGGACAAATCCTGTATACCAATAACAGTTTGTCTCATGTGCGAACTCCACAGCCAGTGCAGCAGGAGAAGTGCTTCCAATATGGTCAAGGCAGTGCAATTTTCCCTCCGCAGGATGACAATCTAGAAAAAAGGTTTGTTCATTATCAAATATATGCTAACTAATTTTGATACATGATAAAATATATAGTTATTAAATAGATTATTGGAACAGATATGTATCTTTTATTTGAATTTCTAAAAGGAATTAAAAATTATTTGTCTATTTGTCTATTATTAGAAACTAATTGTAATTGTTGTTTTCGTTACAGGAGAAGTGAAGCACTCTTGACCAGAATGGAGGAACGCATAATTAACATAGAGGTTGAAATTAAGTAAGTTCTGTGACAAATAATCATATGTGTTTATATACAGGGTGTCCCATTTTAAGTGTCCACCCCAAATATCTCTTATTTTTGATTTTAGAGAAAAATGGTTCAGACGTGTTTTGTATAGTTTCGAGGGGGCCATAAGATGGTACCATTGATTTGACCTTGAAGAGTCATTTGAAGGTCACGTAAAGGTTACCTTAATTTTTTTAGATGGAACTCCTTATTTTTATTACATATTCTTATAGCTGACCTCGAGAACTTACCAAAACACTATAATCAAATGTTTTTTGGTGAAGTACTTTTCGAGTTATAAAGCTCCAAATTTACAAAATTTTGATAAAAATACAAAATATTTCGTAAAACATTCACTTTCCAATAGTCTTATCTTACATGATCCAACCAGTCAAGGCAAGATCCGTGCATGATCCAACCAGTCAAGACTCGGATCTTGCCTTATACTTTTTTTATATTTTTACAGGCAGTACTTGGAGATACAATTATTGTCTCGCAACCAACTATATCAAGAGTTATATTTCGAGTATCCATATTGTTAGCAAGGATATTCAATAGGTTTATAAAAATGCCTTCTACACCAGATGCTATAAGAGAAAATCACAATCTTTTTAAAGATATAGTACGTCATGCTGGAAGTATTGGTTTACCAGGGATTGATGGAGCTATTGATTGTACACATGTACTATTACCACCACATGTACGGTACACATGTATGGTACCAAATTGCAGAACATAGAAGAAATTTATAGAAATCGAAAGGGATATCTATCATTAAATGTACAGGTATGCAATGTAACATATGTAAATACACACATATTAATTGTAATAAAATGTTATTAAGTACATTATACTAAAAAATATTGGTTTTAATATATTTTTATATGTAGGCTGTTGTTGGGCCTAGAACAGAATTTTTGGACATTGTTCCAGAATGGCCGGGTAGCCAACATGATCCCCCCCGTGGGCGCCACCTTGACGTGGTGGGGGGGCTTGTGTGCCTTGATGTGCGGAGCTGTGCCGGCGGGGACTTCGGCCCCTGGCAGGTTCTACCATGCCGGAGAGATCCGCACTGAAAGGCCAGACTAAGAGCGTTCTTATTCACTCTCGGAGGGGCAGCTGCCTCCGAATTTCATACAGGGACCGGAGGGTCGCACTGGTACTTGTACCAGTGCTACCCAAAGGACCCTACAGCGCGGGCAGAACGGGCTCGTAAGCCGGATGAAGGCAACCGTTCTAGGGGAAGGAAAACCCTGACTGCAAACCCGTACTTGTCAGGACGTATAACCTGACACGATTGCGAGGGGCCAGGATGCTTCGGCATCCTGGTACAGGGGGCTCAGGCATCCCCGGCAGACCCTAGCCTACTATACCGAAACCCTAGGTCATGTCTCTGGAGCCGGGGGTCTTGCCTTAATCGGCCGGACCGCGAGGCGGGTCCTCTATAAAATACCACGTAATCCTACGGTTGAGGCATGCCACGCTTATGGGATGAATGGCAGGTGCGTGACCTGTCGCTAGTGGTTCCTCACTCTGGGCACCTGGCGAACCCAGGGGACATGGTAGCCTTACCCCGGGCAATGCGGGGGCTCTGCCTGGGGTCGACGCCCACTTCCTGCCGCACCCGTGGGACTCAAATGAAGATTTCCAAAAAAAAAAACAAAAAACTCCGAGTCTTCGGACTCAAGGTCCCGTATGGACAGGTGCACCAACCCGTCCGAGGACTCACCACTCTCTTGCGAGAGTGATTTTTATGTAGAGGGAAAGGAGGGTTTAGAGGTGGCAGGAGATCTGCAGGCAGGTGCCACCTCCCCACCCTCTGGGGAGGAAGTGCAGGCTAGCCCCAGTGGAATAGCCGCTGGGGTGCAGCCAGATAAAGAGGGAAGACCACCGCCCTCAGGGGATCGCCCCTTCGACCGCGGAGGTGGCGAGATAAGCTCGCCGGTCAGGTCTAAGCGAGCGGCCACCCAACGAGGGATCTCTAGCGGGACTGGGTCCAAGGGTCCGAGCCTAACACCGGCGGCAGATAAGCCTGGTCCCCTCTGCTCTAAGAGGGGACAGCACAAAGGAATCCGAGAGACGGGGGCCTTGGGGTCTGCGAGAGCTGAAGGGGCGTCGGAGGGGACCACCGGGAAACCGGTGGTCGTCTCCGATGTCCTGCTTTCGCAGAACTCAAGGGTCCCCATATCTCGGATAAGGAAAAGGCCCAGGGAACCGCTAAGCTCCAGAGGGAGCAGCAGTAGCGGCTCGCGCGCCGTTACCGCCGGCCCAGCGCTTGAGCAGACGAAGAGGGGACGTGGCAGGCCCCTCACAACTGGTCTCGGCGTGGGGATAAGAGAGAGAAAGGAGGCGGAGAAAAAGGAGAGGAAGGAAGCAGAGAGGATTAGACTGGAAAAGGAGATCCAGACCATTTTGGATGGAGGAATCTTCCGGTTCCTCGCTGACAAGAGACCGATGGAAGAAGTCTTTAGGGACGGGGCAGCCAAAGGACTTCTGAGGGAGGCAAAAGTGTGCGAGCTGGCCTCGGAGGCAGGTCGTGCCCTCGGCACGATTCGGCTAGTCTCCAGAAGGTCCAATACTTTGAAAGGGACCTTTGTGGGGGCGCTGAATCGTGCCGTGGGCGTCTCCGAGGCCGTGCTCGCCACTTTGATGGCCAGGGTGGCCAGTAGGGAAAAGGATGGCGATATCACCCTGGCCGAAAAAGAGGCAGAGGAGCTCAGAGAGGAGCTAAAGAGGTTGAGGGTGGAGAATAGGCGGCAAGTCTCCTCGTCGATCTCTATGGCTCCTCCGACAACTGCCGCTTCTTCTCCACCAGGTCCATCAGGCACGAAACCCACCTATTCAGAAGTGGTGAGAGGATCATCCTCGGCCGGATCCAGTGAGGAGGAGGAAAAGAATAGGGAGGGAAAGAAGAAGAAAAAGAAGATGAAGAGAAAGGAGAGGGAAAGGAAGAGGAGGAGGATTGTCTCGTCCTGAACCTCCATCTCCGCCAGGATGGTGGAAGAGGACCAGGACATCCCCTCCTTAGATGACAATTTGGAGGATATGATCCATCCGTTCCCCCCGAAGGAGAAGATGGAAGGCGCTGAAGAGGAGCTGGACACCGACCTGAAGGCCCGGCTCCCCGGCTGTGGCTGCGGGGCGGAGGTCGAGCGGCTCAGGGCCGCCGCCAGCCGCCTCGAGGCTGTTATCCGGGGGGGCGGGCCAGCGGTGTCGGTGGGGGTCCCAGCGTCCACCCCTCCCTCAGCACCGGAAAGGATGAAGAAGGCGCCAAATAGGAAGGAGAATATAATCCCGGAGGAACCCAATGGACGAAAGGAGAAGGGTCAAGGGAAAAAGGAAAGGAAGAAGGCGAATAAAATGAGGAAAAAGGCCAGGGACAAACTAATGAAGGAGGAGGAGAGAAAGAGAGCCCTGGAAGGAGGAAAGGGCATGTCCGCCAAGGACATACTGCTGGCAGGAGGCTACCCGGTGGAGAAGGGACTGTGGTACTCGATTGGCCAGAACCAGGTACCACAGGTTACCCGGAACCAGGAACTACAGGAGACCTGGTCCCAGGTGGTGGGACGAAAGGAGGGAAAGAGGAGGAAGGAAGAGGCAAGAACGAGGGACCCAACTGAACTTCCGACCCTTACCCCCAAGGTGAGATCTAAAGGGAAGGGACCAACTGTAGCAGGAGGGGGCAGGCTTAAGCCGCCACGCTCGGCGGCCGTCACGATAATCTGCCCCGAGGGCGAATACGCCAGCTTTATGTTGGAGGCCAGGCGCCGCATCATCCCGGCGGACCTGGGGATCGGTGGATCCCTGAAGGTCCGCCGGGCCCTGAGCGGGGCAATGTTGAGGTACCTGGCCTCAACGTCGGGGCATCCGCCGACCGGCTTGCGGACGAGCTCCGCAAGCTGGCGGCGGAAAGGGGCCCCAGTTTTCGCGTCCAAAGGCCGGTATAGGTCGCTGCATTGCGACTGGCTGGCCTGGACGCGACAACCGGGGCCGAGGAAGTGACGGCCGCCGTTGCCCGCGCTGGGGGATGCTCACCTGGGGAGGTATCCCCAGGGGTAATGAGTGTCACCCAGCGGGGTACGGGCGCCATGGTGGTGCGGTGTCCGCTGGCGGTGGCCGCGAAGGTCGCCGCCGCGGAGCGGGTCCACGTGGGGTGGACCCGTGCCAGGGTAACGGCGCTGCCCGCTCGCGCGGTGCTGTGTTTCCGGTGTCTTCTACCTGGACACGTGCGCGAGCGGTGCACCAGCGCCGTCGACCGCGGCGATTTATGCTATCGCTGCGGTAGCCCCGGCCACCGCGCCAAAGGGTGCCTGCGGGCGGCGAACTGCCCCATCTATGCAAAGGCGGGCAGGCCCTCCGGTCACAAGATCGGAAGGCCTGCCTGTGGCCCCCCTGCGGGCAACAGGAAGAAGAAGAAGAAGGGGAAGAAGACATGAGGTCTGGTGGGAGCGGGAGACACGGGAGTGACGAGTGCCCGAAACGTCGCCGGAGTGCCAACCCAGCCGACACCAGAGCAGTCAGGAGAGGGGAGTGAGTCTCCTCCCCCAAGGAAGGATCCAGAGGGGGAAGGTGCAGGGAAGCCTTCACCCCAACAGAAGACCGGGAGGACCATCCATCCAGCCAGTGCGACTGGGAACCGGAGACGACAGGCGCAGAAGGCTGGCAGGAGAAGCCACCGGTACCTCCAAGAAGGAAGAGGAAGGGTAGGGAAGACCCGGACACCTCGACGGAGGAAAAGGAACAGGAGGAAAAGGAACAGGATTCAAAGGTAAGGAGGGTGGAACCCACGGGTCCACCCCCAACAACCCTAGAAGACGGGGAGACGGAGGGAGCGCCACCTCCATCTCCCTAGGTTGACGATTCCTCCTCGTACTCCCGAGAGGAGGAATCCGCACAGGTAGGGACCCCCCACCACTCCGCGGAGGCATCCGTAGACGAGGCCACCACGGCCGAAGCCTCCCCCGGGCTATCCGAGACGGCTCTGCCGTCAAAGGATGGCCAGGGGGGGCCGAAGTAGGTAACCCGGAGGAGGCGTGAAAGGCATGGCCTTCACGCCACTCCGGGTCCTACAGGCCAACGTCGGCCACGGCGCCCGGGCTCAAGACTTCTGCATGCAGAGGTTGAAAGAGCTGGGTGCCGGGCTGGCGGTGGTCACCGAGCCGCTCTGGATCCCCGTTCGCAGCGCGAACTGGTTCAGGGGTCCGGACGGCTCGGTGGCCATGGTGGCAGACCCTGCGACGGGGGCCCCGCCCTGTAAATTCAGGGAATCGGGGCCCTCGTACTTGGCGGTCGATTGGGGGCCCATTAATGTGGTGGGGATATACCTTCCCCACCACAGGAACAAGGCCGGTCTCGGTCGTCCTGCCCCGGTCAAGGCGGTCCTGGACAGGGTCGGGGAGCTGGCACGGAGGTGCCATCCCCGACCAGTCATAATTGCCGGGGACTTCAACGCCCACTCGGAAGGGTGGGGTTGCAGTCCCCGACAACGGGACCGCCGGGGGGACATCGTGATCGGCTGGGCGGCGGGACTTTGCCTTGTTCTGAATGAGGGCTCAGAGAGCACCTGCGTGCGGCCGGGGGGGGGCGGAGGCTCGGTCATTGATTTGACCTGGGCGACCCCTTCGGCCGCGGGGCTCTTCCACGAGTGGAAGGTGGAGGCGGAGGGTGAGACACTGTCTGACCACAGACATATAGTGTGGAACCTCCGCCTCCCCAGACCCCAGCAGGTGCTCATCCGCCGCCCTGTGGAGAGGGAACCCCCTCTCCCCAAGAGATGGGCCCTCAACCGACTGGACGCGGACAGGTTTCGGGCGGCTGTCCTTGTGGCACCTTGGCACCTGGAAGAGGTGCCAGGGGGGCGGGACCCCGACTCCTGCAAGGGGCCGAGGAAATAGTGGGCATCGTGACGTCGTGCTGCGACGTTGCGATGCCCCAGTCCCGCCCCCGATCCCGCCGGGCAGCATATTAGTGGAGTGAGGAGCTAGGACGGCTCCGACGCTCCGCCATCACAGCCAGGCGGCTGTTTGTGCGTGCCCGGCGGAATGGAGGGGATGCCACGGGGACAAAATGGGAATACTTCCGAGTGAGGAAGACCCTGAAAGTCGCCATCGCCGAGGCGAAGCGAGCGTCCTGGGAGCAACTTGTGAGCTCCCTGGGCGAGGATCCGTGGGGGCGCCCGTACAAAAGGGTGACCGGGAAGGTCCGCCCTTGGGCGCCCCCGCCGACCGAACAAATGGACCACCAGGCCCTCGATGGGCTCCTGGACGCCCTCTTTCCGAGGGCGGAAGGGGGCTCACCAGTGATCCCTCCCCCAGAAATGGGGGAGGGGGACTGGGACGAGGGCCTGGAGGTCAGTCCAGAGGAGCTCGTAGGGACCAGGAAGAGGCTCGGGGCCAAGGGAAAAGCCCCTGGCCCCGACGGAATTCCTGGCCGCGCCTGGGCCCTCGCACTCGGCGAGGGAAACCTGTTCGCGGCCACGCGCAGGGTTCTAAGCGGATGCCTCAGGGAGGGGGTATTCCCCCCAGAGTGGAGGAGGGCCAAGCTGGTCCTCCTCCCCAAGGAGGGCAAAGCACCCGGTAGTGCGTCGGCCTATAGGTCGATATGCCTGCTGGACGAGGCGGGCAAGTTGCTGGAACGCATCATTGCCGACCGCCTCGTCCAGCATCTGTCCTCGGAGGGGTCGAACCTCCACGACCGCCAGTTTGGGTTCAGGCCCGGGAGATCAACGCTGGACGCTGTCCAGTGTCTCCGGGGCCTGACCCGGGCGGTCGTGGAGAGGGACGGCGGGGTGTTGTTGGCGGTATCCCTGGATATCAGGAATGCCTTCAACACCCTGCCGTGGCCGGAGATCGGGCGCTAGTGTATCACGGTGTGCCCGCCTATCTCCGGCGTATCCTTTCGGCCTACTTCGGGGGCAGGGACCTCACCTTCCCGATGGAGGGCGGGGTCCAGGGCCGGCGCACCATGGAGCGCGGTGTTCCGCAGAGGTCCGTTCTGGGCCTCCTGCTATGGAACATCGCGTTCGACCGGGTGCTGAGAACTCCGCTCTCCTCGGGCTGCCACGTCGTCTGTTACGCAGATGACACTTTAGTGGTGGCCGGGGGGGAGAACTGGGGGGAAGCCCGCCTCCGCGCGGAGGCGACGCTGGCATCGGTGGTGGGCACCATTAAGGACCTCGGACTCTCGGTGGCGCCCCAGAAGACCGAGGCCGTATATTTCTACGACCGAGGTCGAGGGGCGCCTCTGGAAACCGAGGTCCTCGTGGATGGCATCCACGTCCGCGTCGGGCCGACGATTAAATATCTCGGCCTGACGTTGGACAGTCGTTGGAGCTTCGGGCCCCATTTCGGGAACCTGGCCCCCCGGGTGCGCAAAGCAGGTCTGGCGGTCGCCAGCCTCATGCGCGCCCAGGGGGGCCCGGGTTGGATGCACGCCGCCTGTACGTCACGGCCGTGCTCTCGATTGCCCTTTACGGGGCGCCCATATGGGCCGAGCCTCTTGGTCTGCCGGAGGAGAAAACGCTTCCTCCGGCAGGCCTTGAGGCCCGTATTGATAAGGGCGATTCGGGGGTATCGGACCGTGTCGTACATGGCGGCGACCACCCTGGCCGGCGTTCCTCCCGTGGAGCTCCTTGCCGATGAGAGAAGTACTCTCTATTGGCGGGTGAGGGAGCTCCGCGCGGATGGGACGCTAAGGGCCAGGGATCTAAGGAGCCTGAAGCTCCAGGCCAGGAACCGGATCCTTCGGAAATGGGAGGACGCTTTGTCCGACCCGAAGGTGTCCGGTCCCAAGACGGCAGCGGCTGTCCGCCCCTGCCTGTCCGAGGTGACAGGCAGGAAGGGACGTGGAATGTCATTCCATCTGGTGCAGATGCTGACCGGGCACGGATGCTTCAGTCGGTATCTGCACCAGATAAGGAAGGGGTCCACCACCCGGTGCCACCACTGCCCCATTCTCGAGGACACGGCGCATCATACCTTGTCCACATGCTCGGCATGGGACGAGGAGCGCCGTGTCCTCGAGGGGGCGGTGGAGTGCCGAAGGGGGGGACCTCTCGCTCCCGCGCATGGTCAAGGCCATGTGCGGGAGCGAGGAAGTGTGGGACGCGGCCTCCTTCTGTCGGGAAGTTATCTCGCAGAAGGAGGCCGCGGAGTGGGGACGTCGACCGGGAGTGCGTCGCAAAGGCGGCGCACCGGTCGACGATCCTCGGGAGGAGGAATCGGAAGCGGACCCGAGGTGGCGTCGGCCGAGGAGGACTCACCTGTCGACAGCGACGGGTCGGGGACTCCTCGGCCGCCTCGGGCCCGCCACCGTCCGCGCGGGGGGGACTGGGCTATCTAGATCCCCCCGCGCGGTCGGATAGGTAGGGCAAAGGGGGGGCGGTGTCCCGGTTTGGGACGGGCCCGCTCCCCCAAAGCTCTCCCCCTTGACTAACAAGGGGGGGGTAAAGGAGGAGGGGTGGGTGTCCCCTTCCTCCTAATAGGTGTGACCAGAAGGCCAACCGGTGGGGCAACCCACCGGGACCGCGCCCTGGACTCCCTTAGTGGGACAGGGCGCGGTACGTTATGGCGAGGGGCTCCCGGAGAGCCCTGGGGCCGGGGGGTTGGGGAGGGAATACGGGAGTAGTTCCTCTGACTCCCCTCCTCACGGCCCGACAGGTAGACATCCCGCAGGGGTTTAGTCGGTAAGAATCCGACATAACCCCCTCCCCCCAAAGGGAAGGGGTTATCCATGATGGATTTCCCCTGCGTCACCAAAAAAAAAAAAAAAGCCAACATGATAGTAGAATTTTTCAAAATTCTGCTATATACATAAAATACTTTCAACGTCAGTTGCCAGGTATTCTAGTAGGAGATGCAGCATATCCCTGTTTACCATTTCTTTTAACTCCTATTCAGAATCCGCAAACAGATAAGGAAATTGCGTTTTTTGTATTTTTCTGTGGTTATATTAGGTTATATATATATATTTTTTTATAAAACGTTAGTAAACAAATGTATTTTTTTACAGTTATAATGTACTTCACGGAAGAACACGTCAGATTGTTGAAAGAACATTTGGGATATGGAAACGTAGATTTCCGTGCTTATCTAGAGGATTAAGCAACAAGTTAATTGGTTCAACAACAATAGTTGTTGCGTGTGCTGTGCTGCATAATATGTCTTTAATTTTTAATAATATGTTACCAGAAGAAGAAGTTGAAGAAAATAATGAAATAGAAATACCAATTGAACCACACTGGCAGCCGGGAGAGGGTTTTGTAATGCGAGAAGCACTTATTGAGAGACTATATAGATAGTTTATTATACAACTTATTACACAACTTATACAATAAACAAAAAGTAACCAAAGTAAATTTTATTCAGTCTTTTACTTTTTGTTGCACATTTCCACTGTTAATTATATATATTATTATTATATATATTTTGAAAATAAAATCTTTAAATTTTCTTTTATAATAAAACAAAATATAACAAAGTGAAAAATATTTTGTATACATAGTGGCTGTGCAGTGAGTTATCGGACACTAACATAATACGGTTAATCTATATTATTCAATACTTTAATATTATTTCTTGCAGCTAAAAATAAATAACTTTTTCTTATAATATTTCTTTGGTTAAATGGACTTCGATATTTCCTTTTACAGACTTCTTTTAAAAACGCATATTTTCTTTCTCCCTTTGTAATTGTAACTCGGCTAACTCAGCTTTCGCAGTAGCTTCTCGAATTTGTAAAGCAAATAATTCTGTTTGAAGATTTTCTTTCATTGTAGCAATTCTTTTCTCATGAAATTTTTTTATATCTGATATATCTTTCTCTTGTTCTATGATTTGCTTTATTCTTTTTATCTTTACAGTATCTTCCTCGCTAACAAAATTTTCTTTTATATTTCTCTTTCCTTTTGCTATTTTTACTGGTCGCGTACAGGCAAAATCCAATTTATTTTCTTCTTTCGGCTCAAAAACTGTAAAAACAATAATATTTAGTTACTTCCTCTCATTAACACTATAAAATAAGTAAAAAATAGTTTATACTACCTTCATTACAAAGATTAGTATCTTGGTTCTCTTTGTCAATCATCTCTTCTATTATTATATCTGAAAATCGTTAATAATGAATCTAAATTATTTGACAATATTTTTAAATAAACGTATTTATTTTTACTATTGTATATAATTGAGTAAATATAAAAGTATTAATAAAATCTATATAATTAACAAATTATGTACCTTCTCGCAGATAGTATGGTATATGTAAATTTAATTTTGAATTAATTTTAATCGAAAATACCTTGTGTTTTGTTAATTTCTTTATCATTCAGCTCATCAACATTACTCCCGTATAATGATGAGATGTCATCATTTACTAAAAGGTTCAAAATATGTTCTCCTTTCTCTGAATCATAAATAAAATATATTAATATATGAATTATAATAAATATTTGTAAAATTCTTTCTATCTAGTAAAATTATATCTTTAGCATGTGCAACTATGACTGTTTCAAAATTATTGACAGTGCTGAAAATATTTAATATACGTGACATTAATTGTAAGATGCATTCCGTTTCTAGCATGAAGCTCATAATGTGAACATTTTCTATAATATATGTAATATGAACTATAGATAAATGTGTGCATCATGCATTTCATGCGAGAAATGGAATATACCTATAGTTTGTGAAGGCTGGCAATGTTTGGCAATGATTATTGGAATGCAATCTATATTGTGTTTAATAATAAGAAATTTATACATAAATATATATATATGCCTTACTTATGTGTCTTTATTTATTTTTAAATATATTTTTAAAGTTACCTACCATTTATCTCATTTTCTGTCATATTAGATGTAAACAAAACAGGAGCTGTTTTTAAAAGATGTGGTGCTATTATGGCAACATCAGGGTCAATGTTTATTTCTGGTAGTGGCGGGCCACCACCAGTGGTTAGACGAGCTTGTTTTTCTTTAGTTAATAATTCTCTTTGAGTTTGTTTAATATTTGTCCAGAGTTTCTTTAGCTGTTGAACTGTACGCTGCAAAAGGGAAAACATTAATATCACTAATATATCTAGAGCTGTATTTCAAAAATTTTCTGTACGTAGTATAATTAATTTTGTTATATTTACTTCTTGCATAATCATGGAAGAATTGTTACATCTCTTACAAATTTCAGCCCATGCAAGTTCTTTGTCATGAAGTGTTGAAGAATCACTTTTTTTAACCTCAATGACGTGCTTAAAATCTTTTAATATCTCTACGAAAAGTTTTCTTTCCACAGTTGTATAATGTTTATTCTTCGACATTTTCAAATTTTTTAATTTTAAAGATTGAAATCTTACAATGAGACAACTAGCAAATAAAAATTTGTTAATTCTTCTAATCAAGTGTATCACATTTCTCACATGTCCACTTTAACTTGTTGCACTAGTGTAGTAGTACAGTTAAAAAGAATAGACCACTCTTGTTTTAACCACTTCAGCTCAAAGGAAGGATCATTTTTATTGGTTGGCCTAAAAGAAATAATACGGAAATAGCCGAATGATCAATAAGTATCATCTTAAGCAAATCTTTGCGAAGATATTCTCAAATAGAATAAGAGTTTCTTAGGCAAAAACTTCTTCGCAAAGATTATCTTAATATATGTTTATGAATTATATCGATTTTAAGGTGATCTTCATTCAATAAGATAATCTTGACTAAGACGACCTTCAGTATCGCCTTGAGACTCGACTATGAATACGGCCCTTATGATTAATATGGTAGCCTTAAGCTTATATCTATTTGTGAATCACATTAAGATCTTTTCAAATAAGATCATCTTGAAAAAGGTATGCCTTCAGATTTTGCTCAAGTCCCGCCTTCTTTTTCGATTATGAATCTAGAGGGCGTCTTAAGACTAAATTTAAGACAGTCTTAAAATAAGTTCAGACTATGAATACGGCCCTATGTCCGTGCTACAACCACAGTTGCTATCTCTATGCCAAACTATGCCCGGAGGTCTAAAAAGAGCGGGGGGGGAGGGGAGGGGAGCAAGAAAAGTAAAAGTATGTATTAAATATTAAATCTTCGAATACATGTTGCCATATCAAAGTCTTCTGTATACTACTGTGATCAAAAAATAAGGTGAATTTGTTTATAAAATGAAAATGAAATGAAAAATCTTCATTTATTCTTCTAAACCAATTTCATCGCCTTCAAAGTACTCCCCGTCCGACACAATGCACTTATGCCAACGTTTTTTCCAATCCTCGAAACAATCAAAGAAGTCTTTTTCCGGGATGGCCTTTAATACTTTCTTCGATTCGGTTTGTATCTCCTCAATCGAGTCGAAACGGTGTCCCCGGAGCGGTCTTTTGAGTTTGTTGAACAGCCAGAAGTCGCACGGTCCTAAATCAGGCGAATACGGTGGTTGTGGAACGATATGGGTCGAATTTTTGGCGAAATGTTCTCGAAGAACCAATGCAGTGTGGGACGGTGCATTATCGTGGTGCAAAAACCAAGAATTGTCTGCCCATAAAACATCTTTTAAAATGGTTTAGGTTGATCCAAATGAAATGCCCGTATCATCAGCAAGGTTTCTAATTGTCAATCGACGATTTACGAACAGCAAATCTTTGATTTCCTTGACGTGGTAGATGTTGATGGTCGTCCGGGGTGCTGTTCGTCTTGAACTCGTTCTCGGCCTTCTTTGAAGTCTTTGTATCATTTGTAAACATTCTTTTGCGACGTAGCCTTATCACCAAAGGCCTTCTGCAACATCTTCAACGTTTCCGTGGCAGAATATTCATTCCGCAAACAAAATTAAATGCAAATTCTTTGCTCAACAAAATCAGACATAGTAAAAATCGAAAAACTCACTTTTGTATGTTTACAAAAACACGTATAGCTCTGCACCAATTGAATATATTGACATGAAACTTTGCATAGATGTCAAAGACAGTGCTACCAACCCACCAAAAAATAATTTCATGATTTTATAATACCCGCGAAGTTTAAATGAAAAATTCATCTTATTTTTTGATCACAGTAATAAACGATTTGATACGTCTGAAGACACATGATGTATCGTTGCCCGCGTCCCGTTCCCTTCGTCCTGCTTCTCAATTCAACATCCCGTCCGCTCCGGACATTCGCTCGTGGCACTGACAGTGGCCGTCGGTGAGCATTCGATCCGCTCGGAGGAGCACATGTTAACGCGCACAATTAACGCGACGAGACTCCGATTATAAATATCCCGCGAGTCAACGAAATAACTGAACTTTTAAAAAAAGCATCAAAGAAAATCACGTTGATGTTGTCATGAGTGAAATCTCACCCTAGTATATATTTTTTTATTTTCGAAATAAGAAAAACCGAACAAATGCAATTAAATGTTATTTATCATCATTAAATATTAGATAAAAAGTAGAAGAGTTATTGTCCGCAACGGATAATCTAACATTTAATAAGAACGAAACAAAACTCGCATAGGATGAAATTCCATTCTTTAACGCTACCATGACCTTTAATTATTCTCCGAAAACGGCGTCACAACAACTTTGATACTCTTTTTCCTTTTTTTTTTTTTTACCACGATGGGGAAATTCTCATGGATACCCCTGCCCCTTGGAAGGAGCGGGGGTTATATCGGACTCTTACCGGCTAAAACCCCACCAGAGTGTCTGCTAGGCGGGCCGGAATGGGGGAGTCGGGGGAACTACGTGAATATTCTTTCCCCGACACTCCGGCCCTGGACCTCTCAGGGAGCCCCTCGTCCAAGTGCCGCGCCCCCTTCTGAAGGAGAGAAGGGTAGGTAAGCGGGAGCGAGGCCCGATCGAGGCGGTCGAGGAGGCTCCCAAGGGATCGAAGGTGGCTCCTCGGCTGGTGCCACCTCGGGCCCGCTATCAAGACAACTTTGATACTCTGTACAATTAGTTGCTAACACATTTTCTAATCGTACACATTCCTCTTTAATTAACATAAAGCTAACAAATGTCCGATACCTCGACAGAGTAATTTTCTTTATTTTCAGTAATCAATAAATAGTAAATCAATTTCGCGTACAGTTGAAAGGCCTTCTCGCATTCCCCTCGTCGTTCCGAAACTTTCGAGAAGAGACGCCCAAGGACAAGTCTTTCTTGCTTTAACCGCCGCCGAGACCCGCAATGTTTATATCGCGCCGATTGTGTTGATCGGCTCATGAGCGACGACACTTTTTGTCCTTCGTATTAATAGTCGCGCACCTCGCGTACTCGACTTCATTCCTCAGCAGCAGCCGTGCGTGACGCGTTCGTTACTTCCGACTCGTATAATTGAAAGAAATGTATCTCGTCGATCCTCGAGATACTCAATCGGCATCACGTCGGCATCGTGTTGATTAACCGCACGGTCGAATCACGAGTATCGGCATTAAAAGCGTGAGTGAGTGAAATTCGAAAGACTCCAGCAGCCGGGAAGCAAGATGCCGGTAGCGATATGTCACGTTTCCAGGTATGTGAAATTATTTATTATGCGGGAGGTCTCTGATAAGCGAAAGCGGACGTTTGACGAATTTTTCGGGAATAAGAAGTCGGAATTTCGCGCTCGGTATTCATGATCCGTCATCATCCGACTTATAATCATGACTTTATGAATCTGCAATTACTCTCGTCAATCTCTGTCTATCTATTTATTGCATTGTTGTATACAAGAGATATTAGGTCTGTTTTTTATTGCTGAACTAGTGTACACTCAGGGAATATAAAAAGAAATAGATATACCAGGTATATCGGTAATTACTTTCCGGTTTTTGTAACAGATGTCACTAGCCATAAGTATGCAATGTTATGATTTGATACATGTGTCATTTTATTCTACTGACATTAACCTCAAAACTACACAAGTTACGTTCCGCCAAAATAACAGCGTTATAGATTAATAATTTTTTGAAAATGTCGAGTTTTGTGCCTGAAAACGTGCATTTGCGGCACGCATTACTTTTCTTGTTTAATCAAAAGAAAAAAGCTGCTGAAAGTCATCGTTTGCTGGTAGAGACTTACGGTGAGCATGCTCCAACCATAAGAACATGTGAAACGTGGTTTCGACAATTCAAATGTGGTGACTTCAACATTCAAGACAAAAAACGTCCTGGTAGGCCGAAAACGTTTGAAGATGCAGGAGTTATTGGATGAAGGCCCAACACAAACTCAAAAACAATTGGCAGAAAAGTTGAATGTGAGCCGAGTAGCAATTTGTGAACGATTACAAGCGATGGGAAAGATCCAAAAGATGGGAAGATGGGTGCCACATGAATTGAATGACAGGCAATTGGAAAATCGAAAAATCGTCAGTGAAATGCTGCTTCAAAGGTATGAAAGGAAGTCATTTCTGCATCGAATAGTAACGAGTGATGAAAAATGGATTTATTTCGAAAATCCCAAGCGAAAAAAATCATGGTTATCACCTGGCGAAGGCGGCCCATCGACTGCAAGGCCAGATCGCTTTGGTCGCAAGGCCATGCTCTGTGTCTGGTGGGACCAGGTTGGTGTCGTATATTATGAACTGTTGAAACCTGGAGAAACAGTTAATACTGTTCGCTACCAACAACAAATGATCAATTTGAACTGTGCATTGATCGAAAAACGTCCACAATACGCTCAAAGACATGATAAGGTGATTTTGCAGCATGACAACGCGCCATCTCATACAGCAAAACCAGTCAAAGAAGTGTTGAAATCACTTGGATGGGAAGTTTTATCGCATCCGCCGTACTTTCCAGACCTGGCTCCATCCGACTACCTTTTCGCATCGATGGGGCACGCGCTTGCAGAGTAGTACTTCGCCGATTTCGAAGAAGTTAAAAAATGGCTCGATGAATGGTTTAGCTCAAAGGAGAAACAGTTCTTTTGGAATGGCATCCATAAATTGCCTGAGAGATGGGCAAAATGTATAGAATCAAATGGCCAATACTTTGAATAAATATATTTTAACTATCCATTGTAAATAATGTGTTTCTTTAGCGAAAAAACCGGAAAGGAATTACCGACACACCTGGTACATCTGGGAGTTAGTGAAAGGGAAAGAAGAAGAGAATAAATGCAAGTTAATGCAGCCAGTTCCCTAATAAGAAACAAACCTATGAATCCAGACAGAGACGGATAACGGTCCATGAACGCAGATCTCTAATTCATCATGTTCTCAATCAAATATGAATAATTCCCAACTGTGTGAATATACCGGTCTTGTGTAGAACATTCAACGTCATATCGTTTCTTACAAGACTTCTTGTTAGACTGCGACCTTTTTGTTTTCGGTCAGCGTTTCTGTCAAGTCTGTTTACTCTTGTTACGGGATCTAAATTTAAATGTCCATTCGTAAAAGAGTATTTTCGAGAGCACACAACTGTTGTCTCCGCTTCTTGTTGTCATTTTTTTTTCGTCAGCTCTTTTAAGAGCTCCAAGTCCTATCTAGACTTTCAATGTCAATTAAAAAAAAAACCGTAGCGATTATTCTCCACTCATCCTGATCAAACATTCTTTCTCTACCGCAGCTTACCAACCAAAAACGCTAAATTTTTGTTCCAGACGTTGCGGGAAGCAAGTCCGGCGGACGCGGATGCCGCACCGGAGGATTCGGTTCGGGCAGAGCAGGGTCGGCCGGAAGGTAAAGTTTACAAGTTTCCTACACAGCTGTATCCAACTCTTTACAATCTTTGCCTTTGCAACTTGTTTCTCATCATCTCTCTTGAAAGCTTCATGTCTCATTTAAATTTTCAATATTGGAACAAAAATATGAAAATAAAAATCCCATATCAAAATATTTCCGTATTGTCGATTCATCTCGATCAAAGATATTTTCTCTCCACCACAGATTGTCATCTGGGAAAACTATTTTTCTATTTCAGTTGTTGCGGAAAGCAACAACAATCCGACAGATGCGGATGCCGTATCGGAGGATTCGGTTTGGGCCAAGTAGAGTCGGTCGGAAGGTAAAGTTTACAAGTTTCCTACACATCTGTGTTCAACCCTTTACGATCTTTGCCTTTGCAACTTGTTTCTCATCAGCTCTTTTGAAAGCTTCAAGTCTCATTTAAATTTCAAATTGGAACAAAAATATAAAGATAAAAATTTCATATCAAAATATTTCCGTATTTTCGATTCGTCCCGATCAAAGACCTCTCTCTACCGCAGGTTATCAACTGGGAAAGTTATTTTTCTGTTTCAGTTGTTGCGGAAAGCAACAGCAATCCGACGGACGCAGATGCCGCACCGGAGGATCCGATTGAGGCCAAGCAGAGTCAGCTTAAAGGTAAGTTTACAAGTTTACTATAGTCCTCTGTTTGACTCTTGGCGATCTAGAGCTGGGATATAATTTCCGACTCGACTTGAATTACGATTGCAGAGGGTAAACTACTCTTATTCGCCCGCACTCGTTGGTCAAATCTGATGAGCGAATGTGAATTTTTACATTAAAATACATACGATATTTTGAAACTTCTTTGGCTATTATATCAAACGCATTTTGCGTGTCACGTAATATCCTTCGGACTACACGGACATTATTATTTTGATCATTTTGATTTCTTTGATATTCACTAAGAATTATCTAGAACAGAGCTCGGCAAAATGTGCACGCGACGGCCGATTTTCGACTATTTCCGTCCACCACTATTCCCTTTACCTCGCCGCTCCGCGCGCTGCCGACAAGCCGCTCGAGCCTCAGGAGCGTGTTTCCAATAGTTTTCCACGTCACCCACGAAGTACTATTGTTAACGCGTATTTTTTTAAGTGGTATCCCCAGTAAGCCTAATCCACTGATGACTGTAACAACCCGTAACTAATTGAACAGAAGCGAAATAAAATATGTTAAATGAAGAATATTCAATTCGATTTTCGGCGTCTTTTATTGTTAAGAGTGGAAACGTCAGTTTAAATATTGCATGTAGCGAGCCGCATAAAACGTGGTAAGGAATCGTTGCTTAAAGAAGAACACTTCTCATTTTTTATAAACTTCATTTTTGAAAAATGAAGAGGCCTACTGGAGATACCACTTAAAAAAAAAACGCGTCAACAATAGTATTTCATGGGTGACGTGGAAAACTATTGGAAACACGCTCCTGAGGCTCGAGCGGCTTTTAGGCAGCGTGCGGAGCGGCGAGGTAAAGAGAATAGCGGTGGACGGAGATAGTCGAAAATCGGCCGTCGCGTGCACATTTTGCCGAGCTCTGATCTAGAACGTAACTGCCATGTTGAACGACTCAATTATGTGAAATATTTCGATTTTTACAAATTCATATAAAATTTTTCATTTTTCACTAATCACAGAAGTTTTTCACTTTTCACTAGTTCACGCTAGGGAAAATATTCATGATCGCTGCCCTGAGCAGCGCTTCTCCAATCATTTATGTCGGCGCGCTCCTACTCCTCAGATTTGTGTCATTAATAACTCGATAATTATTGCGAATCTCACAAAATATGGGACTTTTATGTTTGTCTCAACCCAATCTACCCTCACACTTCGGGTTGGCAGCTAATTACCGGACACTTCGTATGATTTTCATGATATTAATCATACTGTGACGTGGCGATTTTGGGGTCGCTCGTCACAAGAGGCGGAGGGCCTCCGAGAGGATCCCCGGGCAATCGCGCTCGCCCGCAACCGCGAGGCGAGCTGCGTAATTTTGAGGAAGGGTCGCGGATATATTTGGTGTTGGCGAGCGATCTCGTATCGACGAGTGCGAGATTGCTTTTCTTTTTCTTTTTGGACGATACTCCCGCGTCCCTATAATGTGTGTGCCCCTTCGCCGCGAGTAGCCTCCGACCAGCAGGAGCAGCGAACGAGGGAAAGTGGACCGAGGTGGAAGGAGGGGAGGAATCGAGGAGCCGCTGCGAGCACTAAGGGATCTCTCAGGTCATGTCGTTGGCCCGCCCCTATTTTGTTTTCGAACAATTGTGCCGTTAACATCGCACTGCTGTCGATGTATTTTTGTATATTGTCGTAGCCAAGAAAATAAACCGGGACACGACACCTGATAACGAGGAACCTGGATCACGCGGAAGATGCTCGTCGAAAGAAAAGAAAATATAAAGCAACATCTCGATATCGCGTGATCCCGGAAGGAAAAAAAAGTTGAGCAGGGAAGGAGCAACCGGAGCAACGTCTCTCGGGATCGGAGGAGAAAGACTTAGGGTGGAATTACGATGAACTTTACGTAACGGGACGCGACGGGACGTGAAGTGACGTGACGTGAATTTGACGTTTGAGGTTATATTACGATCACCGTAACGTGCCGTAATAATGAATTCTGCTGTGAGGCATTATCAATTTGTAAATTTAATTTTGGCCGGGTATTTGTATCTTCAACTGCAGAAGAGGAAACGAATACGAACCATTGGTGTGAGAGATATTTTTCGAAGAAGAATTCAGTTTGGTGACAGGCATAACCTAGTAGAAGAACTCCGTTTTTGTAATCCACATTTATTTTTTATTTACACAAGGATGAATGTCGAAAGGTAAGAATTAGTGACTATTTGGCAAAAAATATAATCATTTTACAAATTAATATGTCTGCTTTTTTACATTGTTATACCTCTTGGTCTTGCTTGGTCTACGAATAAAGAAGTGCAAGAGATTAATAGTTTTCTGACATAGAATTTATTTTTACAAATTATATGTTTATTTTCTTAGATTTGAATACTTGTTGAGCTTGGTTGGTCCACTTTTAAAGAAACGAGAAATGTATACTGCTCTTTCACCCACTCAGAGGCTTGCTATGACATTGAGGTAAAATTACCAATGTTTACTTTATTTTAATTTATCAATTTCTCCAAATCGATTTAATTTATAAATTTGTTTTGCAGGTTCTTGACAGCAGGAGACAGTCAGAATTCTCTGAGTTTTTCTTATAGATGTGGCCAGAGCATGTCTCTAAGATCTTGGCCGCAATCATTCGAACACTTGTTTGTGTATTAAAAAATATGTTTGTGAAGCCTGCTTTAAATAATGCAGAGTGGCTTGAGTTATCTGCTGAATTTTGGAAAGAATGGCAGTTTCCTCATTGCGTGGGAGCTATCGATGGAAAGCACGTTCAAATACAAGCCCCACAAGCTTCTCAAAGTATTTATTTTAATTACAAGAAGACGTTTAGCATGGTTCTACTGGCAGTTTGTGATGCACATTACAATTTCATTATGCTGGATATAGGAGCAGAAGGCAAGTAACTTGAATTTGGCAAGTTAAGGGATTCGTCACTCAATCGCCGACCCATTTCAGACGATTGAAAAATTCCGCCATCACAAGTGATGGCGGAATTTTTCAATCGTCTGAAATGGGTCGGCGATTGAGTGACGAATCCCTTAACTTGCCAAATTCAAGTTACTTACCAGGAACTAATATTGATATGCCCTACTTCCTTGCAGGAGACGCAGCTTTCCCTCTAAAACCTTTTCTTATGAAACCCTATGGTGAGCGCAATATATCCGATAACGAGTCTGTGTTTAACTTGCGGTTAAGCAGAGCAAGGAGAGTAATTGAAAATGCCTTTGGTATTTTAGCTGCTCGTTGGAGAATTTTTCGTCGCCCTATTATTGCCAAAGAAGACAATGTGGAAAGCATCATTGAATGTGCCGTTTGCCTCCACAATTTCATCCGCAAGACAGGTGACATAAAACTCAACTTGCAGTATTGCCCTCCTTCTTTTGTGGATCATGAATTGCTAACTGGCGAACTAGTAGAGGGAGCATGGCGTGACATTGTTGCTGGAGAAAATGGAGCTATCATTAATGATTCACAGATAGGTGCAAGAAATGCTGCTCTTAGTGTCATACAACAGAGAAATGTACTGAAGGAATTCGTGAACAGACCTGGGGCTATGCGCCATCAAGATATTATTGTAAGGATACGGCAAAGAATTATCCCCTCTCAGGATGTACATTTACTGTCATGATAGTTTTGAAATTAAATAAATCGAGATATAAAACATGAATAGAACGTTTTTATTTTTAAGTAAAATGTATGGTAAACGGAACAACAAGTTTAAATAATTTATCTAATATTTATCTAATTTATCTAACATATAATTAATCTGTTATTTTTAAATCTTCAGCCTCCTCCTCGCAATCTTGAATGATGGATCTAAATTTCTTCCTGTACTTCAATTTTAGTGCGATATTTTTTAAATTCTTGAGGCAAGATTCAACATTCTTACCAATTAAGACATCTGGATCATTAATGTCGATTGAAGGTAGTGATGGTAGTGATGGTATAGGAGGAGCAGCCATAGATTTATTGAGATTAGCAAGAGTCTCTTTGAACATCTCAGTAGTTTCGCCCATCTTTGCCTTCTTACATCGACCTATAGGTCCTAAGTACGGCATGCTTGCAGTTGTTGATGATCCAGATGAAGATAACGGGAGGGCGGGAGAATAAGTAGCAAATGGAGCATTAACTGGAGCACTAAGATCATCTACAGTCTGCTCCTCTAATATTTCGACATTATCTGAGGATTCGGCCAATGACGGTAGAAGCGACATCTCTTTATCTGTGCATGATAACCTTGCTGAAGATATAGGTACCGACGACGTTGGTGGGAAATTGTCCACAGATCTACAACCGGAAATAATTAATCAAATCATGACAGTCAGAACAAACCGCCATATACAATCGTCAATAAAATTATCGTATAGATAAATCCAAACAAAATTACTTAAAAAAAGAATAAAAAAGCCAATCGTTCTCGACTTTTGCGAGCGTGTTTTACTTGAATTGAAAGATGTCATTTGACATTGTGTTGTGTATTCAGACAAACATATAGACAACATACAGATTACAAGACAAACATACAGACAACATATAGACGCCAAGTACAGATTTTTAATTTATTCTCCCTACGTTCCGCAGTCTTTTTAAAAGTAAAAATGTACTGCGTCTCCAAAAAATTGCTCAATTTAATATATCTTATAAGTAGGTTTATATGATTTTTTTCGCGGCATTGCGACATAACAAGGTTACCTATGCATTAAATTTTGACTTGAATTTACCTATGCAATTATTTTGTTGACGAATGTATTAAACTTACTTCGTTTTCCTAATATGAGGTGTCAGAAATGACATAGCATTATATGTTGGCCATTCTGGACGGGTTAAGGCTGCTGCTCCAGACCTCCTCTCCTGCTCAAGAATGTGCTTCTCTTTTGTGAACCTCTCGCGAAGGGTTTGCCACCTGGCTGTACAATCTTTTACTGGTGCTAAAATCATGAAAAAAAAATCTATATGAACTTTAAGTTCATATAAATCAATCAAAAAGGATGAATAACTTATCATTGACTGTTTCGGCCACAATTTTCCATGCGGATTCTTTTATTCCGATATTCTTGAATCCTGCATGTCCTTTATTATATATTTCGGGATGCGCTCGCACACACTCTATTAATAAAATATCGTTGATCGACATTTTCTATATGAATTTCGTCTGTATGTTTGTATGTTGTCTGTATGTTTGTCTGAATACACAACACAATGCCAAATGACATTTCAGTTCAAGCAAAACACGCTCGCAAAAGTCGAGAACGTTGATTGGCTGAAAGTGTCACGTGAACAGTTCGACTTGACGGAATACAACATCTAAACTTGACATTGGCAAGCTTCACGTCGCAAGTTCCGATATTTCACGTCACGTTACGTAAAGTCGATCGTAACTAGCCGCATATAAAACAATGTGTTTTAGGTTTTGTGTCACTTCACGTCCCGTCGCGTCCCGTTACGTTAAGTTCATCGTAATCCCGGCCTTAGGGCGCGCAGACCGGCAACAGGAACACGACCACACCACCGTCACACACCACCCCGACTAGCCGGAAGACGGTGCAGGAGGCCGAGCGCTGCCCTCCGACCCGAGCCGACCCGACCGCGGCAGTGTCTCGCACCCCCTGCACTACACCACCAAGCCTGGTCGCCTTGGGCTCTATCCGGGGTCGACGCCCACTTCCCGCCGTGCTCGTGGGACCAAAATGGATTCTCGACTAAATTTAAAAACTAACTCCGAGCCTTCGGGCTCAAAGTCCCGAATGGACGGGCGTAGCGGCCCGTCTGAGAACTTACCACTCGCATTGGCAAGTGATTTTTCTTCAGACGTAGAGGTAGGAGTTACGAGAGAGGTGGGAGAGAATCGACAGGCGGATGTCTCCTTCCCACCCCCCGGGAAGTCGAAGGCGATGGACCTCAGAAGACTAGCCTCTGGAGGATCATCATTAGAGAATTCACCACCGTCCTCACTGGCAAGTCAGTTTCACCTCCCTGACCGCGGGGATGGTGAGGTGAGCCCGTCGGTTAGGAAGGGCGGCTACCCAACGTGGGACAGTGAAGTCTCTGGGTTCCGGAAGTAAACTTCCGACACCAGAGGCCAACAGACTCGGCTCCCTCAATACCAAAGCGGTAAAGAGGGAGCCCCCCCCCCAGTTAGAACCAAGGGAGCACAAGGAGTAGGCCCAGGAAAGGAGAAGGGAGGGCCGAGAGCGGTAGTGGAGGAGTCGGGGCGGACCACCGGAGGTCCGGTGATCCACTCCGACGTTATTCTGTCGCAGAGGTCAAGGATCCCGGTTCCAGGCTTCAGCAGGACTGCCCAGGCCTCGATACCCAGGCAGCCAGCAACAACAGCGGCAAAAGAGGGAGAACCGTCGACATCTGCGGCGGGGAGGAAGAGGGTCAGGAAGGCCACCAACAGCAGTGGCTCTTCGAAGAAAGAGATGCCTATCGATACCTCCGAAAAAGAAACAGGTAAGACCTGCAACTACGGGGAAAGGAGTAGGGATAAGGGAAAGGATGGAAAAGGAGAAAGAAAGAAAGAAAGAAGGAGGAAGAGAGCAAGAGATTGGAGAGGAAGGCATGGGACCTCCTCTGCAAGGGAGAACTTAGTTCCACGGAGGACAAGCGCCCTGCAGAGGAGGTCTATAGGGATCCCGCCAAGGCCTTGCTGAGGGAGGCTAGGGCATCAGGAGGCATCAGGGAGGTGGGCCATGCACTAGGCACGGTTCGACTGGTGGCGCAAAGGTCCCGGACGCTCAAAGGGACTTTCGTGGCACTTTTGAACCGCGCCGTGGACACCTCCGAGGCTGTACTGAGCACCCTGATTGCACGGACGGCCTTGCAGGATGACCAGGGAGAGGAGGTCTCGACAGGGGGGACAAACTGTATAACGTTGTATGAGAGAGTCACGTAATGCTAGCGCGCTTCTACTTGGAGCGCTGATGGCGCTGGGTAATAAAGTTTTACCGTTGTATATCAAATAAAAATCTATGCCCATTATACACATATTTGATTATGTGAAAATTTATGGTTTTAAAATGACGGGAAAAAAATGCTCAGTTTATAAATGTTTGTCGAGGAACAAATGAATGTTTGCTTTCCCAAATCCTGTAAAGGATAAAGATAGATTTAAAAAAAATGGTTAGCAGCCAGTGGTAACATTAATTTATTAACTGTTCCACACGATAAAATAGTGAAGAGGACGATATGCGAGGATCATTTTGGGAGTAATTTAAAATTAAGAAAAAAATTAACTTATTGTGCTGTACCAACATTATTATTGCCAGGTATTTATTAGGTGTTATATGTTATTAGATTCATATAAACTTAAATATTTGCTTTTAATAATTTAAATAATTAATAGATTTATTAATAATGAGAAATAAAAATTGTCTAACATGAAAGTATTATTTCCAAAATACGTGTGAGTAGCATATTAATGTTTTAATATTTTTGACAGATCCGCTTAATTTGGAAGAAGTTACAGTTGCAATAAATGGAAAAGAAGGCAATACAATTACAAGTTCTTGGAACAGTAAGTATAAAATATTTTATATATAAACCTTTTTTATGTAGAGTAGCCCAAATCTTTACTACTTAAAATGTATTATTCTTTTAAGGATAGAACAATACGCATGCATGCGTGCGCGTATATGTGTGTGATTATATGAGACATAATTTGTAATTAATATTTTCATGTAGATATATTTAAAGAGGAATTAAAAAATATTATTCAATAAAACAATAAAAAAAGTAATTTATAATTATACAAGAAAATTTAGTTTTTGCGGATTCCATGTCTTTTAAACTCAACACTCTGGATAAAGGAAACATTTTACCTATAGTGCCTGCAGTACATAATAATATAATCGGTACAATTGTAACAGATTCTATAAGTAGGTTTCCATGTAAATAATAAAATAATAAAAAAATAAAATATATAAATAATATATAAATATATAAATAAAAAATAACAAAATAAAAAAGTAATAAAAACTTATGTAACATTAAAGTAATAACTTTAATAAGTATTCTATTTTATGTTTTCTGAAATATGTCTGAAATAAAAATTCTGAAATAAAAATGTTTATCTTATTACAGATGCGGCTGAAGAAGAAGAAAAAGAAACATTTATGAGAAACGAGAATACGGCTACTCAGAATACGGTACAAGAAGGTACATGATATATCAAATTAATTTGTTTCATTAAGATTTCCTTTGAACTGTAGGGTACTTATCGTATAACTCTTCAAATACAATTAACGACATTGCTTTCATTAAAGTTATAAGTACATATATATATATATATACTTATAAATAATATATATATAATATATATAATAATATATATAAATAATATATATACAGGGTGCACGATTTATCTGAAGACATTGAAATATCTTGAGAACTATGCATTGGATAAAAAAAAGTGGTTAATGAAAGTTGTTAGTCTCGAAGGGGGACATCCAACGATACCAAACTCGACCTCCCACCCCACCCCCTGGGGGTGGGGGTTGGGGGCAACTTTGAAATCTTAAATGGAAACTCCCATTTTTTATTGCAGATACGGATTCTACGCCACAAAATACGTAAATTTTGTCCGAAACTTTTTTTTTGATTCGTGATATATGGCGCTGTAATCGTAAAAAATTATATTTTCCGCAATTCTCCAGAAATGAT